TCTGACCCAATCTTCCTCTACCCAGGACAAGTCTTCCTCTTTCCAGGCTTCTTCTCTTGTCCCTAGGGCCTGGGGCTCTAAGGGGCTGCCCTTGGTTTTTAAAGAGTTTTTAAAGTTTTTGAAGTTTTTAAAGAGTTTAGATGTTTGCAGTTTAGGGATGGTGTTGGGTGATAATGTTGGACTTACTTAGGAAAATCAAATCTTTTCATAAGCTCTAATCTTAGTAGTGGATGATAAAAGAGGAATAATCACTAGTGTTATTTTCCACTCACTGAATTGTTGTACAGCCACTGAATTTAATTCTTTTCTAGTTAAGATTAGGAGAAACACTTGAAAATTTGTAAATAAGAAGTGACAGAATCCAGGCCTTAAACACCTACTCTGATAGCCCAAGAGAAAGCTTGTAATAAAGAGGAAAATAATCCTTTGACGGAAAATAAACCTTAGAAAAAAGCAGAGGCAGAAGCTGCATATATGCTGAGATTGAGTGGGAAGAAGAGCCCTTTCCTCTGGGACAACAATGGGATCCAGAGATTATGCTTGAAAAAAATAATCACTCTCAAACCTCCTCCTGAAACTGTATGGGCATTTTGAGATCCCAGAAGGCCTCCTGCTTCCTTGTGCAGTGAGTGAGGTGCTCTTTCTTAGCTGAGAAATTTAAATAACTATAAACTGCTTTACAAACTGCAGCTGGCATCTTGTATTTTAGTCGGAGTCTGTGGTGATGTGTCCAGGCTTCCTGGAAATGCATTCAGAAATACTTCTATTGATTTAGACCTTCACACAAATCTCTCATTCCTAGCAAAATCCTCTAGGGGGTAAAGTTTGTTTTTTCAGACTATGACTGTGCCAAAGAATTCTGTATTACCTATCAGACAAGGTACTTGACAAAACCAACTTGAGAGAGACATTTCATTTGGTTTAGAAAATAATGTAAGAAAAACCTATTATTCTGGATGTTTAATTTTATTTTCCTGCTCCCAGTTTCACCTCATACTGCAGACATTGCTCCACCGTGAGACTAGTAGGAGTAACTCAGTCTGACTGCAACACGTGTTAGAGCTGTGATTTATTTTGACCCTGGCCTTGCAATAAACTTTGTGCAGGTATAAGGGTCTATCTGCATAAGACCTTAATAATAAAAAACCCATTTAATCTGAACTCCTATGTAAGTTCATGCAGAGAGCCTGCTGGCTGCTCAGTGAGGCTCCTCAGTTGTTGGAGGCAGGAGTTGAGCTATGGGAATCTCCCAGGAACAGGAGTCCTACAGAGGAGGGAGTTCTTTGCCATCCTCTGCTGGAATTTGGGGAGGAATAATTTGCCTTCTATGCGACCCATTCGCCTTTGTTTGGAAGGCTGGTAGGACCATTTCTGTTAAGATACATTTTGGAAGGATCTTGCGGCTAATAATAATAAAAAACTTATCCTTTTATGCTATCCACTAAACAAGAGTCTCAACTAGAACGCTGTATTGAACAGATTTGACAGTGAGACCCCACAAAAAGAAAAGGGAAAGGGCAAAGGCTTCTCACTGGGCAGATGTCCTGCAGCAGGGCCGCACGTCTGTCTGTGCGCCCTGGGTTGGCATCACCCCTCGGAGGCCGCAGGACCTCTGGGTGCCAAGGACCCCCTTCGGCAGGGAGGTGCTGAGGGCGACCAGCGCAGAGACCGGCAGAAACGTCAGCCCTCACGCCCAGCTATGTCGATCCTGTCAATCCTGTTTCCTCCTTTTCTTCTTATGCCTCCAACATTCACTTCCCCAGCTCGCTAGAAAGCTCTTTGTTTTCTTTATTTTTTTCTGTGTTTCGGGAGGAATTTCTCTTGGAGGGAACCTAGATAATGCAGTTCAGTCTTCCACATTTCTGGGCTGGACTTTGAGCTTGTGCCATTCAAATTTTTCAGAGGGGAAAACTGAAAGCTAAATTTCGAATCAGTGGCGATTTTTGCCAGTAGCTCCTGTTGGAAAAATAACATCACTCCCCTCGTATTTACCTAATCTTTGATTTTGAAATCTCAGAGATTGGCAACCTTAATTTGATGTTTGTTCTTATTTAGAATTTTGCATGTTCCTTGTATCGCTTTAGTGTCTGCTTCCTTTTTACGTTTTCTCCCTGTTGCAAGGTTAAGATAAGATGCAAGCAGCATTTATTTCCCGATAGCTATAAGCAGTTGAAGAAAAGGTTTGAATAATGAAAAAGCCTGTTTTATTGCACTGCTGTCTATAGCAGCAATATCTAGAAGGCCTAAAAACCATCTAGCTCCCTATAGAGTAGAAAATGTCTGTTTATCACAAAGAGCCCTATTTAGCATTAAGTAAGTCATTTCTGAAGGAGCTCTAAAAAAAACCCTGCGCTTCCTTACTTTTCTGCCACTATGCTACAGTCATTTATTTCCTCTGTTTCAAATTAGATTACGAATCCTTTGTGTTTATAGCACAACTAGTGTGGTGAGACCTCCATCCTGTGTGATTATCCTTCTCGGGCAAAGAGGCTGTGCCAAAACACGGATGAATGCTTTTATTGACACTGTACTCATATAAAATATACTACGTGAATGTGCCATTGAATGCTGTGGAGAACTATGACTGATGATAGACTAAGTCTACTAGGTGAGTAGAGCTACCACCAATTTCCAGAGAACTAAAATTTCACCTTGCAATTCTGATGGCTCTTGGCATCCAACCTGGCCTTGGGAATATGTAACTATGCAACAGCAAGAAGAGCCTGAGTATTGGTGAAAGAACGACACCCAGGATTTCACATGATGTTTTGCATCTATCATATAGGAAAACACTCTGATGTAAGAAGGAGGAGCTGTGTAAAAACAAATTCCTGAAAAAGAAAAAATGTACAAGCATAAATTTGACATCAGTCACAGAAATGTAGAAGAGCAAGAGGAATGTGAACAAATAAGGATGAGCATTGCTAAGCAGTGTATCCAAGTGCTAATATTAGCTAGGTTGCAAAAGTATTTTTATCTTATATTCAACCTGTGCAAATTTCATTCCTGCATGCTAGAAATAAAAGTAGAGATGAAGACAAGGAATTATGAGAAAAAGAAAGGACTAGCAAACCCAGATCTTAAGATGATATATAATTTAACACTTAATCCTTGAAAAGATTCTGTGAAAGAAAAATGACTCTGACTTTACAATAAATGGTGATCTATAAAGAACTGGTCTTTTCATGGGATGACTTTGGTGTCTGTGACTCCATCTCTACATTTTTAATCTAGCTAGAAAGTGTTATAAAAGTGAATTTAATATATTTATCATAGGAGCTAAGTGTGGAATTTGAAATCATTGGGCTATGCTTGACCCATAGGGGAGTTTTATATTGCTCTGTAGGTGAGGTCTTCTGAAAGTCTACATTTTTAAAGTAATATGCAAAACTGACCCTTCATGAGCTTCCTTTTTTCCCTCTTTGTTCATTTAAAAAAAAAAAAAGTTAGTTTTGACCAGATACCTCTTGCAATTAATTTCAACAAGAACACTGAAGCAAAGGCTAGACTATATAGCTAGGCTAGCTGCATTCAAGTCATCTGACTCTAAGGAAATTTATCCAAGAATATTTTAGGAATTATCCTGAGCAACCTCTAAACTGTTAATGAACACTTCCAAGAATTGCTGGAAGATAGGACCCAGAGGACTGGAAAAAAGGCAAACAGGGACTGTGGGTCTTACAATCAATGAGTTTAAGATCAGTTGCTAAAAATGCTTAGTAAATTGTCACTTAATAAGAAGATAGAACAGACAATATGCAGTTTTGTTAAGAGCAAATCACACAATATTATTCAAACAATATTCTTTAACGTGCTTAGAAACCTAACAAAGTAGGACGAATAGTAGGGCGAGTAGTAGGGCAAAAAAAAATTCATATTGACCATAGTATAGCTTTTGATGGTCTCATGGGATGTTTTCATAAGCAAGATAAAGGAAAATGACCTAGACATAATTATGAGGTGGATGTACAACTGACTGCCACACGCTGTTTGAGTTTATTGTTCAATGAGTTACTTAATTTAGAAGATACAAGAAGTTGGGCCCTGTAGAAGTTTGTCCTAGTCTGATTAGTTTTAGTCGGCTGCACAACACGATCTAGAAGATTACACATGGAGTGCAAATGAAATTACAATATATAGCATTGCTGTAAGACATTCAAATGCCCTTCTGGGATGCATTAACAGGTAGAAAAATAAAGGCAGTAGCTCTTTTGTTTTTTGCAGCACTAATGACCTCAGCTTGAATATTGTGTCCAGTTTTGGGCTGGTTATTTTTAGAAGAACATACCTCTATAAATCAAGGAGTTCGGAGGTGAGGAACACAAACACTAGGAAATGTGACTTCTTGAGAATGGTTGAAAGAACTATGCCTGTCCTTTCTAGGAAAAAAAAAGACAAGGATGACAAGGATGAGGCGGGTCTTCACAAATACAAAATACATACCCTACCTCCAAAATTGGGAGGGAAAAAAAGTAATCTTGGTTGCTGAGATCAAAGATAATTTAGATTAGTGTTAAAGAAAGAAACACCTAGAACTGAAGGTGGAGACAACTGAGCAATGGAAATTTTTAAGACCAGCTAAGGATGGTATAAATCCACCTGATTTTGTCTCAAGAACAAAGACAGCCTACATCAGGGTGGCATGTTCTACCACCCATCTGTAGATTGTTTGGACAATTTTCCTAGCCTGCTCCCAGGCTCCTCAGAAGCACATTGCAAGCTGTTCAGGTGCGGTACCCTCTGCCCAGCTCATAGTTTCATAGACAGCTTTCTCATGTGGTGGGGGCAGGTTTCCCTGCTCAAAGGAGGGCTAGAGCCATTCAGGGAGGACAGTGGTTGGGAGCAGACTGCTCCTGCTCCAAGAGCAATTCAGTTAGCTCCAAGTTCATTCTCTGCTCAAGACCGAGGATTATCTGGAAACAGGAGAGCCAAGGTGTCTGTGAAATACTGGAGTCGCCGTAGTGTACTCCCTAAACTGCAAGCAAAGGAGATGACTGAGCGGACGTTCCTGGTTTCAAGATTTCCCTACTGAGGTTCAGCTGGTGACCTGAGTGTCTAAGGTTCAGTGGTCCATAACTGGCTCACATAATTATCATATAGTTGTTCCCCATTAAAGAATTGCCAATAAAGCTAGATAGTAGTCTGGGAAATATTCCAAACTTTGGCACTGATCCACTGATTTGAAATGTGTGGAAATCATTAGATGAAATGACCTCTTGAGGTCATTTTTAACCTTACACAGCAGACATTTATCTGAGGTAGTAATTTCACTCTTCTTTGGAATAACAGCAGGATTGAAAATGGAAGAGCAAATAATGGATAAGGAATAAGTCACAGTTTTAGCATCTGTTAATGATATAGCAAGTTCATGAGACTTCTGTTTATGCCTTGCATAATAGAGTGTTAATGCAGATGTGAGAGAGAGGGTGTATTAAATTATGCCATTTGAGAATTATATAACATCCTATCTTTAGTGAAAACTTATGGGAAATAGCTAAACTGTTAAATTGTATTACTTGAGAATTACAAATAGTGTAATCTGGGAGAAGGTTGTAAGAGGTACAACAACTTACCTTGTCTTCTCATGCAGAATGAGATGTCTTATTCATAACGTAATTGGTCAAGTATTTGTGACAGATCAATATTCTTTGAAATAATATTATATACCAGAATTATTGCAGTTTCAACTATCAGGAAAGAAAAGGTAAAAAAAAAAAAATCCTACATATGTTATCTCAATAGTACGTACTGAATTTTACCTGCAGGGCAAGAAATCTGCTGTGGAAAGACCCCATTTTAATGCTTTGAGCTTTAGATGTGAGAAAGACAAGATATCATTACATTGACACAGAGAGCTGAATAAGGACATATTTTTACTTGGGACCTGTTACTGTGCTTATCAGAGAAATCCCCTGGCATACAAAGGTCTGGCACAGCCTCATTCTGTGAAGGACAGGAGTGATGTTGCTGAGAATATGCCACCGACATTATCTCAAGTTACAATCCTGCATGAAAGCCGTGCTGGAGACTACATGGGTGGCTCTTCTCTAATGCAGGATAGCCCTTTCATCCAGTCCTAATAACTAAATAGGAGAATATGCTACCATGTTTCTACTGCTGTATCCAACCTTCTCCATTAAAATGATAAGAAATCAAAGTGTCTGAACACGGTGAACAGGAATGTAAGCTGTTTACATAATCACTGTTTACATTCTGTTAGAGGTGACAAAATCATCAAGAAAAAAAATGTCAGTGTTGATAAAAAGCATATCAGTAAACAGCAGATTAAACAGGACATAGAGAGCCTTACAGCCCAATTATACATAATTTGCCATGGACATGGTTTGAGAAAGAAATGTACACAATGACTTAGAGAAAATTGCTTAGCTTGACCACATCTTTATTAACAAGAAAACAGTGCCTGAGGGCAAACTGTCCTTGAAAAATATCTCCTGAAAGTAATACTGTGTCATCATCCTCTGCCTTGTGATGAAGATGCTTTTCCTCCCATTCCTCGGCCTCTCTAAACTTTTATCATTGCTGGAGGCTCTTCAAAATCTACTTGCCCTACCTGCTTGCAACAGGTTTCCTTGCTTTGGTGAGCCTGGGTCTACACTTAATCATCATGGGTCTTCTGCAGTCAGTTTTTCAATATCCATGCAGTGACTTTGTCCTACTTCATATGCACAGTATTGCAGATCTGAGAGGCTGGGATATCTCTCCCAACTCTGCCATATCTCTTTATCCAATTAGCATTCTTGCATCCTGCCTAGAGTCTTTTTCCCACAGGACAGTTTTCTGTACGCATGCACTGACTGCAAGCACAGAGACAAATCAACCAGGTTGCCAGAGAAGTGAACATATAGGTCTACCAGGAGTCTGAGGAAAATACCTTTCTAGCTGCACTTTATCCCAACTGTTTATGAAAAGCATGCATTTCATTCCACCAGTAATAGCCCCATAGGGCATTTTGTTGATCACATTTAAACATGACAATGAGTTTTATGTGAAATTTTGAAAATCAGAACATACTGAAGAGGATAAAGATGGTGACTTGTTGCCCTTTGTCTTCATATCATGAAAAGGGGATATGGGAAAAGTTTTTCACTGCCATTAAAGTAACATGAATATTATGGACAGAATGTCAAAAAAATGATAACCTAGGAAAGACTGAAAGGTGCAATGCAGTTCCTAGTGGCTTAATCTTTTCTTAGAATATGAACTGTGACCCATTGCCTAATGGACTTCAAAATGAATAATGAGAGAATACCCGAGAAATGTCCAGAATAGAAAAAGAATCTGTTAAGGATTATTTGGATAAGTTAAGAAAGATTCAAATCACCTCAGCCTTTGACAAAATCTCAGAAAGCGCTGAGCACTTTTTGAGTTCATGGAAAATTGGAAAAATTCCAGAAAACTAGAGAAGAATAGCCATACCACCATCTTATAAAAAAGGGAGTAGGTTTATGTAAAGAATACCTGGCTAGGAAACAGTGCTGTAAAAAGGATCTATAATGGATAACAAAATGAACATAGCTTTAAAATGATTTTTTGATCAATAAGAAAGAAATCACTCTGGGATGTTTGAATAACATATGGAAGACATGGGTGATAAATACTGTCTTTTACATGGGAAAGTCTTTGTCAGAGCAATATTTCTAATATCAGAGTCCATGTTTTAAAAAATATACAGGTGTAACGAGAAGACATTTACTTATTAAGAGGTAAAAAAGAATCTATCAAAATGATTTTTGTGGAAAAGCAGAGATGGAAGGGAGGTGTAGGTGTTAATAGCGTAAAAGGTAGCTATAAACAGGGAAGCAGTCATTTATTCACCATTTGTACTGAGAAACTGCTGTCTGAATATATAAGAACAATAAGGCTAAGTTAAATATTAGGAAAACTTTCTTACTATCGAGACAGTTTGGTGTTACACTGGAGATAATAGGATACTCATCACTGGAAGTTTTAAAAGTAGTTTAGACAAATGTCTCCTTGCTTGAGATGAGCAGTTGAACTGTGTGACCTTCTGTGCCTGACATTTCTTTAATTTTTTTTTCTTCTAGCACATATCTTGATTTCTAAGCGATGTATCTTGTGGCACATTCAAATTCCAGCTACAAGTTCTTTGTTTTGTTGGCCATATGCTTTTCAGCACAAAATTGTGTGCTGTATTTGACAAGCTGAAAGTCTCCAGGGACATCCTGTTGGAACAACACAAAGAAGAAATACTAGTAAGGTGAGTGAAAGGAAAGGAGGAATATATCCAGCTCAGTGAAGTGTTGCAAATATCACTAAACCAGACCCTCTTGTCTTTGAGTCCAACTGATCACAAGCTGAGTTTGCAAGCTCATCACAGGGGTACTATGTAGCATGACCACTGCAGGGGTTTAGTGAGTGTTTCGATATAGGAGAAGGCACAATGAGCAGATGGAAAGGCAGCAGTAATCCACAGACATATTGATGAGGCATGCAGGCCAACTGGGTGCTGACCAAGACCAGCTGTCCCTCTCCCTGGTCTAGTCTGGGAGAAAAATAGGAAGCTTCAAGTAACACTCTGTGTGTGAAGGTTGGAAGGGACCTCTAAAGGTCATCTAGTCGACTACAACCCCCCTGCACACACAGGGTCACCTAGAGCACGTGGCACAGGACTACGTCCAGTAAGTTTCATGAAGGTCTTATGTACCTACTATATGCAACTCATATGTTAAGGAAGAGATGCTCTTTGACTTAGCCTAAACCTATTCATAATCAAATTCAGCTGAACAGAAAAACACTAATACTAAAAAAAAATGAGTGCTTGCAGAGAAGCTTGCTTCAGTTTTGCTATATGAGTTTAAATTCACATCTGTTTACTATAGTGTGATCAAGACCTTTGGGATACACCTCTAGAAATTGTCTAGTCCATCCTACCTGTCTAGGGCCACCTACAGCAGGCTACCCTGGACCATGTCCAGTTGGTTCTGAGTAGCTACAATGATGGAGACTCCACAGCCTCTTTGAGAAACCTGTTCCACCGTTCAGCCACCCTCACAGTGACGTGTTTTCTTGTATTCAAATGGAAGTGGTATGCAGGTCTTGACAGTAAGGTATCGAGGTAGGAGGGTCTAATAGAAACTGGAGTAGAGGAAACCCTTTCACTCGTCAAGAACAAAAAAAGGAAAAACGACCAACTGTTCTGAAAGGCTCCTATAAAAATCACTTCGTGGTGAAAGAAAACATTTTCGTTATGAGAAATGACCTGGAGCTGTTTCTTGTCTAATGGGATTTCAGTAAGTTTTTAGTGCCTTAGTTCAGCACTGCTGTTTCAGACCCAAAGAAAAGCTGGTATGGAGGAAAGCCAGTCTACCTTTTTGTTTGTTTGTTTTCGCATGTGTGTGTGTGTGTGTTGCTTTTAACTGTATCAGTTAGTCTATGAGAAGATACTACTTTTTAACAAGCTTGCCTCACATAAACTAGGACACTAGGGCTATAGCAACATTACCTCATTAATACAACATTACATTACAAACAAAACACTGAATAACACATTCCACTCTGTCAGTATCAGGGCCAAGGGTCAAGTAGACTTTTTTCATTCTGAACATTTTTCATCTTGCTTTTAAGTTACATTTTTAACATATCCAAGGCCCACTCAAAATATAAGCAAACTGGCTGGGAACCAGGACTCAGGTAGAGCCCCGTGACTTCTGAAATTTGTTATATGAATATGGGTGAGGGGTAGACAAACAATGTGAGGGTGATTCTCTGAAAAGATACATTTAAAAGAACATAAAAATTGCAAATGCTGAATCACAATGCAAGTGCTCAAGGACAGCTGGCAACCTTAATTCTGGTATTTCCTATCTTCAAATGCTTGATTTTGCATTTTTGCTAATATCCTTGTAATACAGGTTTTGTGTGTGCAGTTTTCTAGGTTGAAAAGCAAACAAACCCTTTCTCTTCCGTGCAGTTATGGTTCCCCTGCAGGCTTTCTCCACAGATCCAACTTTCATTCCACCCCACACACCTTTGCCACTTGAGTAAATGCTGCACCTGTGGGATGTCATCTAGAATGTGGCTGAGCATCAGTGGACACCTGCTGAAGTCATTTTCAGGGATGTTTGCTGCCAGCAGATCATTAATGAGACCCTTCATTTCCGCTCAGACCAGCGCCTGGAGGACATCCCCGAGCAGATTCTTGGTGTGTACATTTCCCACCTCTTCCAACTGTGATCGCTGAAGCCTGTGGCATATAGGAATAAATGAATCCCTTCAGAGTTGAGGCTCTGTGTTTCAAATACATTTTTTCTTTTGTAAAATGCACTTGTTTGCAATTCAAATAGTATTGTTTTTGTGATGGCTTCCATCACAGCTGTGGATATCCCTTTTCAACCTGATTGTCCCACTTGCTCCATGTCAAAACCTGTCTAGCCCCACTCTGTCCTTGCATGGCATTTCAGACTTCTGACAGGCAGGTATGACACCTTGCTCATACTAACTGCTTTGACCAGAGAGGTCCAAATGGCATTTGCAGCATTTCTTTCCAGGAATCTGTAGCTGGTTGCTATAGTGATAAACAAGTTGGCTTATTAGGAAAAAGAACAAAGCGCTAGAGAAAATGATTTCAAAATGGCCTACGTGCATACATAAACATGCAATCTGGTTCATTACCAGCTCAGACAGCTGGTTTCTTGTTTCTGGAACAGCACAAACACCAAATATATTATTTTAGCAAGTTCAGCTGGTTTCTGCTGCCTATGTTTCCTGACAGACCTGTGCTTCCCATGTATGTGTGGTGTTCCTCAGCTTCTGAGAAGAATTAATATTCTTCGGGACTTTCACAACTGAAGAGTGCAAGAAAATATTGTCCCTTTAAGACACTGTTAGTTGACCAAATGAGGCTGAAATAGGTATAGAGGAACAGATGAAGACAGAAGAAATTCATTGTTGTTACATTCTATGCTGTTCCCTTTTCCTTTTTTTTTTTTTCCCTGTTCTTCTGCTCATGTAAAGGTGCCTGTACACAGACTGAAGGCAGCTATCTGTGCCTGTCAGATCTGTCACATCTGCAGAATGGGTGCATTATGTTCTCTGTAGGAAGGCTGGCTTGAGAATTGGTCTTTCAGGCCTTCAGTAAAGAACAATAAACTTTTCCTTGTTTAAATCCCTAAACATGCAGTGACTCCACTGAGGTCAGGCTTGAGCCCTTGAATATGTAATGGACGGTGTAGTAGATGGATACTCCAAGTAAACAACCAGCTGAACTGCTAGTGCTGAAAACAAACTTTTGGTTTTATGACCATAGGACCCTGTTTGAAGATCGACAACTTACTGGGAGTGATGGGAGCCATCTCACATGTCTTTGCCAACAGGCTGGGCAAGCTCGTAAGGAGAGCTTTAAACTAGGAAAGATGGTGGGAGGAGAGAGTTATGGAAACCAAAAAAACAAAATGGGACTCAAGTGGGGACATGTCCAGCAATTTTACAGCTAAGGAAGTACCTACAAGACAATATTATAGGGAATCCTCTTGCATTCTTCCTGTGAAATCAGCATGCAAGATGCTTCTCTGAAGTGCCTGTAAACAAGTGCATGCAGCATTGAGGAATAAACAGAAAGAAGTAGAGATCCGTGTGTGGTCGCAGGGCTATGATCTTATCACAGTTACAGAGGCAGGGTTGGATAGCTCACAAGTGGAATCCTGCCGGGGTGGATACAAGTTCTTTAGGAAAGACAGATCAGGATGGTGAGGAGGGAGAGTCATGTCTTTTGTGAGAGAGCAACTGGAATGTATGGAGCTCTGCCTATGTGTGGGTGATGAGCAGGAAAGGATTAAAGAGCAGACTAACATGCATTATGCTATGGCAGGTGTTTTCTACAGGCCACTTGATCAGGAAGAGGATGTAGATGAGGCCTTCTACAGACAGCTGAAAGTAGTCTTACAGTCATAGGCCCAATACCTGTAGAAGAACAGCCTGTAACCTTATACCTAGCTTGAGAAATTCCTGATACTCAGAAACTGAGGGGAAACAGCTGTTTTGAGCAAGCAGAAATCTTGCCCACTGGGCATGTCCTGCAGAGAGCCTGGTGGTAGCAGAAGCCTCTAGATGGAGGTGCCTCATGGCCACGCGACCATCTGCATGGGATAAAAATGAAAGGAGCTGAGTTGATGTAGAGGAGCTGGGGGTGAAGAAGGCGCAGCCATAGCAACTCTTACACCATGCCCGTCCCTTTCCACAGATGTTGGAAAGGCTGCAGTAAATGGAGAGGGGATAAACTGGGGCATGCAATTCCTGGCTAACATTATGGTCCCCAATGACTGTGTCCAGCCAGTGCAAGCTGAAAGCGTTTGCAGCATGCTCTAACCTGCAAAATAGATAGATAGATAGATAGATAGATAGATAGATAGATAGATAGATAGATAGATAGATAGATAGATAGATAGATAGATAGATAGATAGATAGATAGATAGATAGATAGATAGATAGATAGATAGATAGATAGATGCCTCTGCAGTCCTATGCAGAGTATTGCCTAATCTAAATGAGATTTCTCTTGCAGGTAAGTGCATATTCACACACTGTTTTCTGACAGTGCATCAGTGCCAGAGCTGGGCATCCTCTGCTGGATGGAGCAGTGCATAAAACTGAAGTAAAGCAAACAGAAAATCGTGTGCCCAGCCCCAACACATCTGGGATGGAAATCTTTGAAGAATGGGAGCAGCAATCAGCAACACAAAAATAAATAAGGCAGTAATCAACTGCAAACAATTCTGAACCAGGACCTAAAGAGAAATGCCTACCCACACACCATGATACAACTCGGAACATGTCCTGTGCTGCATATTGTGTGCAAAACCATAGGAACAGTCTGAGTCACCCCGTGATTGGTACCATCCATCACAAGTTAGAAACTTGTCCTTTGTTTCAGAGCAACACCCAAGGCCTCAAATCAAATGTGACAATTTTTATAATAAACAGGGCTGAGATGTTTTGCAGCAAAAATCTATCTTTGTAGACAGTCCGTCTCTACAAATGAAACAGGTGTTTGATTGGGTCCCTCCAGTTTTCAAGAGAATATTTGCTTATCTGGGAGCAACAGTTCCATAAATAATATTTTTACTTGTACATATTGCCTTTCAACAACAGGATTTCCATGGAAATTCTCTCTTTTACTTTTCCTCATAAGATAAAGACCCTGGGTCTCAAGGGATACTTTAACCACCCTGGTATCTGCTGGAGGAACAACACAAAACATATTTGAGAGCATTGATGATAACTTTCTGACACAGGTGATGGGGGAGTCAACAAGGAGAGGTGTACTGCTGGGCCTACTACTAACAAACAAGAAAGGGCTGATTAGAGATGTGAAGGTTGGGATGGCAGAGTTCACGATCGTGTGAGGAGGAAGCAGGGGTAAAAGCAGGATCACTACCATGGACTTCAGGATCCAGATAACTTCTTGAAAGAATCCCATGGGGAATCCCATGGGAAAGAATCCCCTCTACCCAGACTGACCAAGGCTGTATCTGGAGCACTGTGTCTACTTCTGGACTCCCCAATACCAGAGAGACATGGAGCTGCTGGAGCCTGTCTAGAAAAAGGTCACTGAGACGATGAAGGGCCTTGAGCATCTTTCATATAAGGAAAGGCTGAGAAAGCTGGGACTCTTCAGCCTGGAGAAGACTGAGGGGGGTCTTACCAATGTGTTCATAAGAACTGATGGGTATCTGGGGGGAAGGCGTAAAGAGGATGCGGCCAGACTTTTCTTAATGGTGCCCAGCAATAGGATGGAGAGGCAATAGGCACAAAGCGAAACACAGAAAAGTCCACGTGAACATCAGGAAAAGCTTTATTACTGTGACGGTGACTGAGCATTGGGGCAGGTTGCCCAGAGAGGTGGTAAAGTTTCCTTCCCTGGAGATACGCACAAACCGCCTGGACAGGGTCCTGTGCAATGTTATCTGGGTGGCCCTGCTCGAGGCGGGGGATTGGACTAGATGATCTTTAAAGACTTCTTCCAACCTCGACCATTTTGTGGTTCTTTGGCACTCCTGTGAGAAACAGTGCTGATGCAGTTTTTAAGCTATTGACACATTTTGGTTGACTGCTCAAGAGTAGTCAGCATGGATTCACCAAGGGGAAATCATGCTTGACTAACCTGATAGCCTTCTATGATGGAACCACCAGCTGGATAGATGACGGGAGAGCGGTGGATGTTGTCTATCTCGACTTCACCAAGGCTTTTGACACCGTCCCTCACAACATCCTCCAGGGCAAGCTCCGGAAGTGTGGGATAGATGAGTGCACAGTGAGCTGGATTAGTAATTGGCTGGATGGCAGAGCTCAGAGGTGGTGATCAGCGGTGCAGAGTCTAGTTGGAGGCCTGTAGCTAGTGGGGTCCCCCAGGGGTCAGTCCTTGGCCCAGTCCTGTTCATTTTATTCATCAATGACCTGGATGAGGGCACAGAGTGCTCCCTCAGCAAGTTTGCTGATGATACCAAGCTGGGAGGAGTAGCTGATTCCCCAGAGGGCTGCACTGCCATCCAGAGGGATCTGGACAGACTGGACAACTCTGCTGCTCGCGCTTGCAGCCGTCTGTGCAAGGTCCCCTCGGAGCCGCTCACCCCTCTGCCGGGCTTCTCCTTGGGATGAGCAGACAAATTTCTTTGTTTCATTTAATTTCTTCTTAACGGTAATGAATGGGGGGAAGGAGTGTTTTTAAGAGAGGTTATATACAACATACCCTTCCTGTGAAAGCCCTTTCGAGGGAGGTGATCCTGCCCCTCTACTCAGCCCTGGTGAGGCCGCATCTGGAGTATTGTGTCCAGTTCTGGGCTCCACAGTAGAAGAGGGATGTGGAGCTGCTGGAGAGAGTCCAGCGCAGGGCCACAAGGATGATCAGGGGCCTGGAACATCTGCCCTATGAGGAGAGGCTGAGGGAGCTGGGCCTGTTCAGCCTGGAGAAGAGAAGGCTGAGAGGGGATCTGATCAGTGTCTATAAGTACCTCAAGGAAGGCAGTGAGGAGGATGGTGCTGGTCTCTAATAAGTGGCGGCCGCCGACAGAACTAGAGGGAATGACCACAAACGGAAACATCAAAAGTTCCACAGGAACTTAAGGAAAAATTTCTTAACGGTGAGGGTGACAGAGCACTGGAACAGGCTGCCCAGAGAGGTTGTGGAGTCTCCTTCTCTGGAGATCTTCAAAACCCGCTTGGACGCAGTCCTGTGCCACGTGCTCTAGGTGACCCTGCGTGTGCAGGGGTGTTGGACTAGATGACCTCTAGAGATCCCTTCCAACCTTAAGCATTCTATGATCAAGCCAAAAGTTATCATTTCATTAGATGCTAAACAACTAGTGAATGCATAATACTAGACACTAAACTGCATATATTTAATTTAGATAAGCCGGTTAGGCTTTTGCCTTCCACATTTTGAGTCACTCTTTATCTGTTTTTACCCATCACAGTAATGAGCCTCATGCACCACCTTTGCATGCCAGATTTGATTACCCATTTTCAGTTATCACCAACCGCTGCTGTTGAAAGCAAACAGCCAAATATTCCAAAGCAATGAACCATCCGTGAGTTAAATTTACTCAATTACAGTCATGCAGAATAGAACTATTTTTTTTCTACAGTATTTTATCCATGAGTTAAAAATAATTGTGCATTTTTATATGTTTATCCAACTGTTTTTGCTTCTGTTTCCCACAGAACTGTAATAGTTTTATCAGCTGCAAAGCCTACAAAACAATCAATTTTAATAGCTTTTTCCAAATGCTATCTGTAACTCTGACTGTCTTTCCAATACCTGTAGAAGAACAGCCTGTAACCTTATACCTAGCTTGAGAAATTCCTGATACTCAGAAACTGAGGGGAAACAGCTGTTTTGAGCAAGCAGAAATCTTGCCCACTGGGCATGTCCTGCAGAGAGCCTGGTGGTAGCAGAAGCCTCTAGATGGAGGTGCCTCATGGCCACGCGACCATCTGCATGGGATAAAAATGAAAGGAGCTGAGTTGATGTAGAGGAGCTGGGGGTGAAGAAGGCACAGCCATAGCAACTCTTACACCATGCCCGTCCCTTTCCACAGATGTTGGAAAGGCTGCAGTAAATGGAGAGGGGATAAACTGGGGCATGCAATTCCTGGCTAACATTATGGTCCCCAATGACTGTGTCCAGCCAGTGCAAGCTGAAAGCGTTTGCAGCATGCTCTAACCTGCAAAATAGATAGATAGATAGATAGATAGATAGATAGATAGATGTGCCAGAGCTGGTCATCCTCTGCTGGATGGAGCAGTGCATAAAACTGAAGTAAAGCAAACAGAAAATCGTGTGCCCAGCCCCAACACATCTGGGATGGAAATCTTCGGAGAATGGGGGCAGCAATCAACAACACAAAAATAAATAAGGCAGTAATCAACTGCAAACAATTCTGGACCAGGACCTAAAGAGAAATGCCTACCCACACCATGATACAACTCGGAACATGTCCTGTGCTGCATATTGTGTGCAAAACCATAGGAACAGTCTGAGTCACCCCGTGATTGGTACCATCCATCACAAGTTAGAAACTTGTCCTTTGTTTCAGAGCAACACCCAAGGCCTCAAATCAAATGTGACAATTTTTATAATAAACAGGGCTGAGATGTTTTGCAGCAAAACCTATATTTGTAGACAGCCTGTCCCTACAAATGAAACAGGTATTTGATTGGGTCCCTCCAATTTTCAAGAGAACATTTGCTTATCTGGGAACAACAGTTCCATAAATAATATTTTTACTTGTACATATTGCCTTTCAACAATGGGATTTCCATGAGAATTCTCTCTTTTACCTTTCCTCGTAAGATAATCTATGCTTAAAGCTAAAAGAAAATGTATTGCATTTACCACCACCCCACCTGACACACTTGACTTACAACCTCCCAGTCTGCTCTGTAGCATGTGAAAACATCTTACAACAGTTCTGGAGTAAAAACACATGATCAAACAGCCAAGTATCTTGCATCATTATGTTTCAGATGTCATGTACAGTTAGAAACAGTAAATACTATGTTAGCAAATGTACGGAAACATTAAATTTGGCCACCAGATTCCAGGAACACAATTAAAGAGATGGAAGAAAACCAAACAGGCCATCAGAATATCTCCCTGGTGCTGAGTTAGTGTTTGTGCTCCTGTCAAAACTGCAGCAATTGAATTAGCTATTGTAATGCTGCCTTTACTAAGGTCTTATGGCCACAAAGCATTAAGTATTCTCACAGATTGTCTCTGAATATGTACACAAAGTCCACTAGAGAGAGCATTTTTGACTGAAAAAGACTAAACAATCTGTGAGGAATGTCAGTTAAATCCATTCGTTTGTAACCCCTCATTTCTAGGTTCTGCCCCAAAAGGCTTTTTATTGTCCCGACATGGTAATATGGGTTTATAATAGCTAGAAGAGGCTAGCTTTGAATACAATCCTCTGAAATGACTCCTGACTTTCAGATGAGACCAAACAATACTATTATTGCTATGCTGCTTAAATAACATGTGTTTTCATTATTTGAATGAATTCTCTCTGTAAATACTGGTGGATGGTAAATGAGAAAACAGTGGCATGTTTAGTCACTGGAGAGAGATGTTATTTAGTTTGTCGTCCTTTATCCGAACTGCATCAGCACAAAATGGGCAAGTGTAATTTCATGTCTGGGATGTTTTTGATTTAGATATATTGAACTGTTTATGCTTGCCACAATCCTCCATATTATTTCATTAATCACACAACCACCCTTCCCTTTCTTCACTAAACATGCTAACTCTAATTATCTCTCTGCTACACAGATGTTTCCTCATTTAGATGTTCAGTGCGTGGTCATGTGTCACCCTCACTTTCCCATGGATTTCAGCCTAAATGAAACTGCTTTAATGTCCTTTCTGGGTGTGAACCCTCTGGGTTAATACGACCCTTTGAATAACAAATTGATTGCTAGGGAGATATGAATGATTGATATATACAGTCCTCATTAGCTGTATTTGCTACACACACGCAAATGTGAAGGAAAGCTAAGGAAGGAAAGGAAAGTTTAAGCTAAGGAGGTTGATGAGAAAACATAAAAGATTTCTTTAACCCCTACTATTCCCAGTGATTTTTTTTTATGTTTTCATGTTTCAATGTTTTAAACAGATAATTAATGAGAATGTGGCAATTTGTAAATATCAATACTGTGCCTCTGCGTTTTCTGCAACACAAGGATGCAAAAACATAATTCAACTTGTAAACAAGTGCTCAGGTACCACCGCAGGGAATGCTGAGGAAGCGCTTTGCAAACTACTTGCCTGGTAAGAGGCTTCACGAGATGGTTTAGATCATGCATTTCGTGCGCGTCG